CAGAACCTCAAACTCTTAGTAGTCTCCGAATTCCATTGTATCTTGCCTTTGTCATTGTATCTGCCTTTGACATGAGCCTACAGCAGCGGGTCTTACTAAAATCAACAATGTTTAAACATACCTGAAATTACTTCTTCCCTAGATATAGCTGTTCCATGCCTTTAACGGTGAGACATCCCATCAGCTTTTAAACAGAGCTAGTTACTGGCCTGTTGGCTAAGATCAAACCCGGGATGTATCACTGACATCGATACATCCGCTACCAAGGGACCACAGCCTGTGTATGCAAGGGATGGATTAAGTTATCTAATAGGTCTTTTTTATCTTGCACTTCTATGATCCTGTGCCCTCTAGGAGATAACAAGATGGTAAGCTTAATGAGTCTTGCTTTGAAATTCCAAGCCAAGGCAGGGATACAGATAAAAGGACAGACTTGTTAACTTACTGCTGCAAACTCCTGCTGCATAGCCTGGGCAGCAAACCGAGCCACGTGATTGACAATGGGAGAGAAGTTGGTTGGTCCGTAGAAGCGTATGTGAGGCAGACAGGCGGAGTATGCTTGGACAATGCCTTCCACTCCTTAAAGAGAACCAGACAAACCAGACATTAACTAGACAGCCTCCCAGCCGGCTCCTTGCAGTAACCTTCTACGTACACATCAAAATGGATTTCAGATACAATGGGCAGAAGCTTGAGATCGCCGAAGCTAAATTTCACTTTGCTACTTATCTTACAGTAACATCTTGTAGCCCCACCGGAGATCTGAGCCCACTTCTGCGAGAGACCATACAAACAGTGCTATACCCTACCATTCAAACAGACAGGTAACAAGTGGTAAGGGAAACAGACACAGAGAGGTGAAGTTATTCGAGGTCAGTGGCCGAATCAGGAGAAGACACTAGGTCTCCTGGGTTCTAGTCCAGTGCCCTAACCACTGGGCCATACAGCCACAGTCTAACACCAGAGTTTCTTGAAACCACCTGCTGACTTCCTCTGGAATTGTGGATGCTCAG